TTGTAAAACATACATACCATATACATGTAAGTAAACTTTGTACAGATGTATATACGGTATACCTGTATGTAGAATATGTAAAACATACATACCATATACATGTCAGTAAACTTTATATAGATGTATATACCGTATACCTGTATGTAGAATTTGTAAAACATACATACTATATACATGTAAGTAAACTTTGTACAGATGTATATACGGTATACCTGTATGTAGAATTTGTAAAACATACATACTATATACATGTAAGTAAACTTTGTATTGATGTATATACGGTATACCTGTATTAAGTCTTTTTAAATCTACATACTATGTACATGTATTTAGAATTTTTAAACTTTTCATGTATGCAGGATTTGGAAAATTATATTACAAATATAGGTATTGTTTTCTCCACTAGGGGTCGTCCCAGAGACCTCTGGTTTACTAGTCTCACGCTCTATATATGAATGAGCTCATAAGAGGTATTCCTCAACTGATTCGGTTGAAAACAGATAGTATTTACCCGGGGTGACATCCACGTATGTAAAGTTTGTAAATATAGACTTCATACATATATGAAGACTTTGTAAAACTATATATTGTATACATGTTTGTCAGACTTAAAAAAAAAGATATATATAAAGATATATATATTACATATGTGTAAGTATGGATACTTAATAAAATATAAATTGTTTTTTGTGAATAATGAATTTTGTAAAGGTATCTGCAACATAGACTACACCGAATCAAATACTCAATGTTTAAAACAATAAAATCACTTACCGTTCATCACAGAATGTGAATTAGGGAATATCTATGTTAGCTCCTTCTTAGTGATAGTTTCAACCAATCTGACAGTTTCACCATACTTAAACGAGCACCACAGCCGACGGATAGATCCTCAACGCTGTCTCCCAAAATCACATATAATCCGATCGCGATAGAAATCAACCCTAGTTCCGCAGGGGATTTTTACAGGAAAATCTATTAAACTTTCGCTAACAATTAACCCTCTATAAAACTCCCTTATAACACTGTACATTTATATATACACGTGCAACATATTTTCTAGATAAGAATTATTTCATTCAGTGAAATAAGACGAAACATGTTATGAGAACGAGATGATGGGCACATTTGGTTGGCAGTACTCGCAGTCTACACTCACCGCCGTGTCTGACTGATTGTTGGAGACAGGCGCATTTGATTGGTGTGTTTTGACCGCGGGAAATAGTCACGGTTGAGTGCGTCTCCTGTGTTTCCGAAGTATTGGAACTCTTCCCCAATTACATTTGTATAGGCGTACGTGTGACTGCGGAAAGCGATACCATTGTATGAAATAAAAGTGTTTCTTGCCCCCAACTTGTTTAAAATCCTGACCATACGGTAGTGGTGACTGGGTGTCGCTTGGATGTGGACACCTTATTACTCGGTAAATCAGGGTTCTTAAGCTTCGCCGGTTATATTCTCAGCATTCACTTCCGGAAATGTAAATATAGTACACTGTCCGTTTAAGTTAATTTTCATATGCAAACAACGCAACCAAAAAGTGCAGATTTGTTTATGGCGATTTTAATCATTTCTGACATGACTAAGGAATTGAGTAAACAAATTAATTTAGGCATGTAAGTTTCTGTATTTCAGCATTATAAAACAGACCTACATAACGTTTTAGACTTTCTAAGTGGATTACTTTGTTTATTGAATGAGAATTTATCGGAGAGATCATAAATTAAGTCGACATAGATACCTCCTTAAATAAGACACGCTGCGGGCTGAAAAAATCGATAATTCATTAAAAACCATTTAAAATAAGGTCCGGATATTTGTAACATTGGGTCCGGAACGTGATGTTATTTCCGGATTTACGGAATTAGGACTGAGAAGGCATCACTAGAGTTTAATATGATCTAATTAAGGTAGTATCTATATATGTCTATGTAAATTAACGTCCCATATATCAATCATGAAGATTTCTTCAAATTATATCTAATGACCAACTACTGAAGGTAATCTAAAAATTAGAATGATATCCATCTTATGCTAAAATGAAAATTTGTTTTAAATTTGGAATGTGTGACGTGTTTACAATGCAGTTAAAAGTCGCCAAAAGGACATATTTAAATATTTCATCTTCCTGGGGATCTCTCTGACGGCGTTGAAATTTATATGACTGGGATTAACTTAGGGAGCAGGGCGAGAACAGTCCGGTAATAAAAGCAAGATACATCGCTGATAATGTCTTATTACGCAATGTGGCTAGTCACAAATATGTTAACATTTACGGAAACTTATGCAAAACGGAATATTTTGAGAATGTATGTGGCGCCATTTTAGTTATAAACCGTATCCCTCCACGTCGAGTGTTGTTATCCGGTTTGCAAAATGTCGGTTCAGAAATTGTTGACAAAGTTGATGAAAAGGAATGTGTTCTTTCCAAAGCCCTGAAATTGATGAAAAAATGGCATAATAAAGTATCATATCGCCTTATATCTCCCTCACGCGCATTGGGTGACACACGAAAGGCGCGTTCGATAGCCGACTGGCGACGGAAGTTATATGATAACGTCGTTTGTGTCCCACGCAGACACCTCATGGCTAGTTTCTGCCCCGTTCATAGACCCTTTCGCCTAGGAGTAAGTGCTCGTCTCGTTCTGAGACTTCCCTGACCTTTAGCTCCCCCTGTTAGACTACAGGGCGATGTTACACCTCATCCCTCGGGACGTTAACATTGCATATACCGCTATCGTGTCTCGACGCGGTAAACTATGGCAGCCATAATTTTCATGTACAATTTTAAATTCTAACTGTTGCTGTGTTTTAGTAGATCTGTTGTAAATAACATTCTCGAATGGGTTCTGAACTGAAAATTACTCACTCGTTCCCGCTCCATCTGGCCTAGTAACGACTAGTCGATTCTAATCTCCGCTTATCGGTGTTGGTCCGACTAGTGGCCGCCAGGCGGCGTCAATGGGCACAAAAGGGATATCAAAACAAAGCAACTCTCTTCAAACAGTAGGAGATTAAATATTTATTAAAAGTGTGTTTAGGACATATAATCTCTCTCATCAGCTACGCCATAATTACCGTAAAGCAAGTATTTGGAGACAAAACATTTCTAAATGAGTGAGAGCGCCCGGGCAATTTTGCAACGACTTATCTGATACGACTGAACAACATAGCGTGAGTAATCATGTATGGTGTAAACGATTACAGTAGGGAGGTGACGAGGAGAGGAGGAGGGTAGGGGACAGGGCATTGTGGACAGAACTAGTGTAGGGATAGGCGACGGGGCATTGTGGATAGAACTAGCGGAGGGATAGGCGACGGGGCATTGTGCACAGAACTAGTGGAGGGATAGGCGACAGGGCATTGTGAACAAAACTAGAGGAGGGATAGGCGACAGGGCATTGTGGACAGAACTAGTGGAGGGATAGGCGACAGGGCATTGTGAACAAAACAAGAGGAGGGATAGGCGACAGGGCATTGTGGACAGAACTAGTGGAGGGATAGGGGACAGTACAATGTGGACAGAACAAGTGGAGGGATCGGGGGCAGTGCATGGCTGACAGAACTAGTGGAGGGATCGGGGACAGTGCATTGTTGACAGAACTAGTGGAGGGATCGGGGACAGGACAATGTGGACAGAACAAGTGGAGGGATCGGGGGCAGTGCATGGCTGACAGAACTAGTGGAGGGATCGGGGACATTACAATGTGAACAGAACAAGTGGAGGGATCGGGGACAGTGCATTGTTGACAGAACTAGTGGAGGGATAGGGGACAGGGTATTGTTGATAGAACTAGTGGAGGGATCGGGGGGGACAGTGCATTGTTGACAGAACTAGTGGAGGGGTAGGGGAGAAGAGATAGGGGGCAGGGCATTGTAGACGGAACTAGCGGAGTGATAGGGGGGAAAAGATAGGGGGCAGGACATTGTGGACAGAACTAGCGGAGTGATAGGGGAGAAGAGATAGGGAACAGGGCATTATTGACAGAACTAGCGGAATGATAGGGGATAAAAGATAGGAGGCAAGGCATTGTGGACAGAACTAGCGAAGGGATAGGGGAGAAGAGATAGGGGACAGGGCATTGTGGACAGAACTAACGGAGTAATAGAGGAGAAGAGATAGGGGGCATGGCATCGTGGACAGAACAAGCGGAGGAATAGCGGACAGGGCATTGTGAACAGAACTAGCGGAGGGATAGGGGACAGGGCATTGTGGACAGAACTAGCGAAGGAATATGGGACAGGGCATAGTGAACAGAACTAGCGGAGGGATAGGGGACAGGGCATTGTGTACAGAACTAGCGAAGGAATATGGGACAGGGCATAATCAGAACTAGCGGAGGGATAGGGGACAGGGCATTGTGGACAGAACTAACGGAGTAATAGAGGAGAAGAGATAGGGGCAGGGCATCGTGGACAGAACAAGCGAAGTGATAGGGGAGAGGAGATAGGGGACAGGGTATTGTGAACAGAACTAGTGGAGGGATAGGGGAGAATAGAAACGGGACAGTGCATTAGAGACGGACCGAGGACAGGATAGGGGACAAGGCATTGTTGACAGAACAAGTGGAGCGATCGGGGACAGTGCATTGTTGACAGAACTAGTGAAGGGATCGGGGACAGTGCATTGTTGACAGAACTAGTGGAGGAATCGGGGACAGTGGATTGCTGACAGAACTAGTGGATTGATAGGGGACAGGGCATTGTTGACAGAACTAGTGGAGGGATAGAGGACAGGGTATTGTTGACAGAACTAGTTGAGGGATAGGGGACAGGGCATTGTTGACAGAACTAGTGGAGGGATAGGGGACAGTGCATTGTTCACCAAACTAATGGAGTGATAGGGGGGAGGGATAGAGGACAGGGGATTGTTGACAGAAATAGTGGAGGGATAGAGGGCAGGGTATTGTTGACAGAACTAGGTGAGGGATAGGGGACAGGGTATTGTGGACAGAACTAGTTGAGGGATAGGGGACAGGGTATTGTGGACAGAACTAGTGGAGGGATAGTGGACAGGGCATTGTTGATAGAACTAGTGGAGGGATAGTGGACAGGGCATTGTTGACACAACTAGTGGAGGGATAGGGGACAGGGCATTGTTGACAGAACAAGTAGAGGGAAAGGGGACGAGGCATTGTTGACAGAACTAGTGGAGGGATCGGGGACAGGGCATTGTTGACAGAACTAGTGGAGGGATTGGGGACAGGGCATTGTTAACAGAACTAGTGGAGGGATAGGGGACAGGGCATTGTTGACAGAACAAGTGGAGGGATCGGGGACAGTGCAATGTTGACAGAACTAGTGGATGGATCGGGGACAGGGCATTGTTGACAGAACAAGTGGAGGGATCGGGGACAGTGCATTGTTCACCAAACTAATGGAGTGATAGGGGAGAAGAGATAGGGGACAGTGCATTGTTGATAGAACTAGTGGAGGGATCGGGGACAGTGCATTGTTGACAGAACTAGTGGAGGGATCGGGGACAGGGCATTGTTGACAGAACTAGTGGAGGGATCTGGGACAGGGCATTGTTGACAGAACAAGTGGAGGAATAGGGGACAGGGCATTGTTGACAAAACTAGCGGAGTGATAGGGGAGAAGAGATAGGGGACAGTGCATTGTTGATAGAACTAGTGGAGGGATCGGGGACAGTGCATTGTTGACAGAACTAGTGAAGGGATCGGGGACAGTGCATTGTTGACAGAACTAGCGGAGGGATCGGGGACAGGGCATTGTTGACAGAACTAGGGGAGGGATCTGGGACAGGGCATTGTTGACAGAGCTAGTAGAGGGATCGGGGACAGTGCATTGTTGACAGAACTAGTGAAGGGATCGGGGACAGTGCATTGTTGACAGAACTAGTGAAGGGATCGGGGACAGTGCATTGTTGACAGAACTAGTGAAGGGATCGGGGACAGTGCATTGTTGACAGAACTAGTGAAGGGATCGGGGACAGTGCATTGTTGACAGAACTAGTGAAGGGATCGGGGACAGTGCATTGTTGACAGAACTAGTGAAGGGATCGGGGACAGTGCATTGTTGACAGAACTAGCGGAGGGATCGGGGACAGGGCATTGTTGACAGAACTAGTGGAGTGAAAGGGGAGAAGAGATAGGGGACAGTGCATTGTTGATAGAACTACTAGCGGAGGGATAGGGGACAGGGCATTGTGGACAGAACTAGTGGAGGGATATGGGACAGGGCATTGTTGACAGAACTAGTGGAGTGATAGGGGAGAAGAGATAGGGGACAGTGCATTGTTGATAGAACTAGTGTAGGGATAGGGGACAGGGCATTGTGGACAGAACTAGCGGAGTGATAGGGGAGAAGAGATAGGGGGCAGGGCATTGTGGACAAAACTAGCGGAGAG